GTTCCCTTGTGGTGAAACATGTCGTTCTAACATCGGTCTGTTCAGCCACCAAAAGCGAGGTCTCTTAGACTCAGGCACCATAAATCTTCTTTAATAGACGCAAAAGCCACTATATGTATATGTAACAAAACTCTGTTTTCGTTAAATGCATTATCAGAAGCAGTATTCAAACGTACCTATAGAAATAACTTTACTTCAGAAAACTCGACCCTGACAAATTTTAATTAAATTTAAATACATTTTTATTTGCAAATTGTATGTGGTTTTATTGCACCCAGCTCACACGCCCATTAGAGTAAGGTGTTTAGGCCCAAAATCGTAATATTTTAAAAACTTGCGTCAAGATGCGCGCGCTGCGTGTCCTCCGATGGAATTTAAAGGTCACCGCCTGGGACTGTTGAGCGCGCGCGTCGCATCATCGCATCGCGACCGCACCCTTTTTCAGTGTGACGGTTGCGTACGAAGCGGTCGGACGCGTGACAAACGCCTCTTATTGTCTTTCGTGCATTAAGTGACAAGAGGCCCTTTTGAGTTTTGAAACGCTAAAAATGTGTGACCCGAGAGGAAATCGCTTCGTGTTGGATATAGATTAATTGTGCGCGTACACCGGGGCGAGTAGAAGTCTAGAAAAATAATTGTCGCGCGACAGTCTGCCGGTTAATTGCTTTGGAAGTTAATATTGAATTGTAACGTCGCGTTAAGTGCCTTTGTTGAAGTTGTCTAATCTCGTGCATTTTTGTGTGACAATGAGGCGGATATCATATAATTTTGTTGTATCCATTTTGAGTATTGTTTGCGACCAGGCTTGTATTGAGTTTGAGTTATTAACTTAACCTTGATTGACATTAATTTGATTCGACTAGTTGCTTTGTGGCATTTTAATATCGTGCGAAAGAATTTGGCTTGTTCGGGAGAACGCTGAACTTTGTGACTCAAGAAGAGACCGCGTTCGTTCCCGTGTTTGTAATTCTGTGCTAAGTGCCATAAGTCCTTATGCCCGGAACGGGGGTTTGTTTAGGCCAAATCTTAACATTTAAAACTTGCATTTCAAAACGCTCGTCTCAGCGCGTTCATCCGATGGTACCAGTCACCGCCTGGCACGCTTTCCCGCGCGCGTCTCACCAGGGGACCGTCCTGACTAGTCTGGAAGTTACGCTCGAATTGCTCGGTCGCGTGGCGGCCGCCTGATTGCGTGCGTTTACGCGACGAGGCGTTTCAGGAGTTTTGAGTGATTAACTTAACTTCGATTGCCATTAATTTGCGTCGACGAGTTGCTTGTGTGGCATTTTAATATCGTACGAAGACATTTTTCCCTTGTCGGTTAGAACGCTAAAAATTTGTGACCCGAGAGGAGATCGCGTTCGTTTTTGATTATAAATTTGTGCAAAGTGAACATGGGACATTCAATATTGACAGACAGTTCTTAAGTTGTGCAGTGTTTCACTTGTTTTTAAGTTCGATTAACGTTGATCTATTTAAATTTGAAGTGAATTAATTAAATGTATAATAAAATTGATAAACTAATATAGTGAAATAAAAGCAGAAAGTCTCAATTGGTGAACGCCCACTGGAGTGATCGCACATTGTGGAATAGAGCAGCGCATGTTGGTCTACTGTCCGATTATATCGGTGACGTCAGGTTACATTCACACACTTTCGCACACCACTAACACCTACTATTTACTTACCCCTGACGGTACCTTGTGGTCGATCCTACATAATAATTATCCATAGGCCATTTGGTCCCGAACCCTCTGGTTGCCCGTCGAGTGTGTCTCATGGGCCCTAGTACAGTCGACTTCTGTCGGGGCAACTGAGGGCCGTAACAATTAAATCAGAATCGGTGCAGCCGTTTAGTTCAGTGACAAACACAGGACCAGAAAAATTATATTATAATTAAAAAAATATTTAAATAATACTTCCATGTTTCATGGTGTGAGTTATGTTAGACATTCCATCTTAGTCCTCATAGGTGACAGCGCATTTTTATTTTAGTTCTATAAATATTGTTACGAATGAGGGTAGAAAATAAATAGTAGTAAGGGTAGTGCTTGGCTGTCATTATTCGAGTCATTCAGTATCGTGACATGATTCTACTGGTATAAGTATTCTTTTGGTACATTTAAAAAATGCTTTATTGCAGTGAATCTGCCCGGTGTTACATCGAGAAGAGTAATATAGCTGTCTGCTTGCATATTTTATTGAAATTTTATGACGCTGCCCGGTTTTACATCGTGTTATGTAATATAGCTGTCTGTTTTTTTTTTTCAAATTATAAGTAAAACGATATAACAATATATATATATATATTGTTATATCGTTTGAAATGCCATACTTATAATTTGAAAAAAAATGCATACCGACAGCTATAATGCTCATTACATCACCACCAGACAGCTTCATAAAATTTAAAAAAAAAGAATTATGCAAACTGACAGCTATATTACATAACACGATATAAAACCGGGCAGCGTCATAAAATTTAAATAAAATATGCAAGCAGACAACTATATTGCTAAGATCCCGTCGGTATCGTAAGAGGCAACAGACTAGGAAATGGGCAGCAGCATCTTCCTGAAAACAACTTAATGATAATAAATATACTGAGATTGCCAACCCGCCTACCAAGCGTGGCTACTATTGCAAATATGGAGGATATTGGAGATATTTGTCTATATATTATATCCCCCATAAAATACCTATGATGGATCTATGGGGGAGGTCTATGATCAGCAGTGATCTTTTAAAAGGTTATAATCAAAAACTAATAAGAAGTGCTAGCGCAGCTATAATGAATTAACGAATGAAGTAAATCCATAAAAAAAATTCACTCATACAGGTGTTTACCAAGAGATAAAAAATAAAACAACAAAAGAATTCACAGAACTTTTATTGTGAACAACAACTTGTACTTAATGCTAAATATTTACATTTGGATAAGTAAAAAAAAATCTCCAACATAGTTCACAAACTAAAAGAAAACAACCCGGATGACGAGCAAAACATTACTAAAGATACAACAGCGAGTGCAAACCTGTGACTTTGAACAGTTGACATAATAACTGACTACAATTTCTACGCCTGAGTAACTTAGATTGGTGATGGGAACCAAAGTATTTAGAAGCTGGATAGCAAATCAATTCCACTTCAGTAGGCTCTATTAGAAGATAAGATTAGAAGTTGATAGATGCAGGTGGCTCAGGACAGTGTGTCTGTCCAGGCTAATCTTCTGAATGGCTGAACAGATTGTGATAAAACTATGAGCAGATAGAGTGACCTAGGCTATATTTTATCTGAAAATCTCGAAGATTATTTTTTGAAAAAAAGGAAAATTTGATAAAATTAATGGACCCTATCTTAAATTTAAATGTCACATTAATAGATCCTAACCAGGTGATGCTTGGGTGGGTTGCTTGTTTGTAATATAACAATATGATATTAGCACTGTTTTCTAGGTACCACATATGTCGACAGTACAGATTTCATGAGCCACCATTTGTAATCCTATTCTTTATCTGCATGGGTGGTACACACATTCCACTCCTGGGCACAGATTTAGTCTCTTTTTTTATAAGATAAGGGTGTCAAACAAGCACACAGTCCACCTGATGGTAAGTGGTTGCTGCGGCCCATAGACATCTGCATCTATCCTCGATTACAAATCAAAATGCAGATGCCTCGTCACCCATGAGGACTAAGATGGAATGCCTCGTTTCCAGTAAAAAGGGTATCCCGTTCTCTACACTCACCATACGAAACACAGCAGCGTTAAGCTGCTATTTTATGCTGGTATTCTGTGAGAGTGCGGTCCTTCCCCAGTCGAGCCAACCCATTTGTGCTACAACTATACTACTAATATAGCTACAGCATGGCTCTATCACGTAAAATCTGTAAAAGTCTGTATGATAATGCAACTTAAAAAATGTCTAGCTGCATCAATCTGTGTTATTATGAATCATTGACACAGTAGAAACAAACATACACAGTATTACGAAGTTTATTATGTACAAAGACAGTAATAGAATTTCAAATGAAAACAAATTTTTCATAATCTTCTAAACAATCTGAGGCATGTACTGAAATATAATTTATTATAGTCAAATTTATTATGTTATTGATGTGCATACTGCTTTAGATAAAACATTGTTATCCCATCTTTCTTCGTGGCCTTAAAATGCCTAAAAATGTAATAAGAATCATGTGACAAGTTCTTCTCTATGGCGTTTTATTTTTTAATACTGTATTATATTACAAACTCATTAATGAAAATATCTATAAACCAATCTATCATTTTTTTTAATTTGCCTTATTAATTAACAGAATGTCATCTCTAGATTCAATTTCCCTTCGGTCGCAACACTATCAACCCCCAAACTTTTCAAAATGTTGTATATGGCAACAACACAATATTGTTTCGTATTTTGCCAACAATAACAATATTTGTTTAACACCACAATAAACGATAGACATATTTTTTGGTTACCGTGACGTTTTTAGCGGTTACCATGACTTCGCCAGTAACATGTTACATGTGAATAATTTTAATTGGGATACAAACTCTGCATAAAAAAGGCAGTTGATAATACAAAAAAGTATGACTATGAATATTATGTGATGGCCGGACATATGTTAGAATTCTTTCAATATTAAAGTATATCTGTCATTTGTAATCATTGTCATTACGTGATGTTTTTAATGTCACCCCAGACACATGGGGATCCATATTTACTTATAGATTTTTACTATAGTGAAAGTGTATCAAAGTGTATGATTCCATGAAAGACAGAGAATTAAAAAATAAGCAACATGTTATAACAAATAGGCTAAAATAAAAAATAGTTTATTATAACTTACAACTGTTCACCGCACATCTGTATGATGATTTGTCACAATGGGAACTCTCTTAAAGAAATCATACAAGGCATAAAATTTTGTCATTCTGAATATAATTTCACAGTATGCACATCAACTATTGTCCTTGCACTACACAAACACTGATTTTACTCCAGTTCCATAGCACTCTTCATATAGGCGTCCAGCTCTTTATCCAGTGCCGTCTTAGTGCTTGCCATGTACTGATCTAGCTGGGCGTCAAGCTCCTCTTTGGTAGGCACTGGTTTTTGATTGGTTTGATTTCTAACAACTCCACCTGCAATAAACAAATATATCTTTGAGTTCGGGTGTAAGGTCTGTCTTAAGATGTGATTATTTTAGAATTATTTGGTTCCAAAAATAATGTGACTCAGTAAATATGGTAAATCTTCTTTTCCAAGCCCAAAAAATTTCATATTTTTCTTACATTCTAAAAGAGGGCCATAATCCCTGACGTCAGATAAATTTCTGTCATCTAGTATCCCTTGGTGCAATAGAATTCATCACCTCATTTCGCTCCGTGCGAAAATGCGAAGTGGGCAGACCAAACGACACCTACGCTTACGAGGTGGTAGGGGTCTTTTTCTGCCTGTGAGTGGTAACTGGATAGGCTCTTTAATTTAACTGGCAGTCTTCCATTATTATTTTTTCTGCCAACAAACTGTTGAACAGTTTGGCAGAGAGTGAAACTGTAGAAGTGTTATGTTTCTTGTCAATAATAATAAAATAAAATAAATTAATAATTATAGTTTTCGGGGATAACAACGAAAATTTCTGTGCTTTTATGCATTTGAAGTTGGTTGCAGTTGTTCACGGACTGCGGTAGCCACATACCATCTGATAGACTGTTAACTCATTATTCATGCCAAAGTTAAATAAAGGTATTCATTGTTTAATACTGTGAGGATAGTTAGTTGTTTGTTTTTGTTAATAAAATAACGGTACCCAACAAACATCCTAATGTACCTCCATACCTAACAAAGTCCACCTGATGCTAAGTGTAAGTACCATGGGCCACAGACATCTGCATGAAGGCAAAGAACAGGGAATGTCCCACTGAGTAAATTATGAGAAAAACAGCAATTTAAAGTTTAGAAGCTATACTATATTTATTGAGATCAAAGTATACAATAACTTTTACTTAGAACTAACAATGACTAGTTATTAAACACATGTATGTTGAAATCAGACTTTTCAGTCATTTACATTCAATACGTGGTAGAGCCATGCTGCAGCTATATTAGTGGTATATTTGTAGCACGAATGAGTCGGCTCGACCGGGGAAGGACCACGCTCTCTCACAGAATACCAACGTAAAATAGCAGTTTAACACTGCTGTGTTTCGTATGGTGAGTGTAGAGAACCGGAGACCCTTTTTACTGGAAAAGAGGCATTCCATCTTGGTCCCCACGGGTGGCAACGCATCTGCAGTTTGATTCGCAAACAAGGATAAATGTAGATGTCTATGGGCCACACACACCAACCACTTACCATCAGGTGGACTGTGTGCTCGTTTGTCACCCGATCCTATAAAAAAAAATACATAAATCCCCGATTAAAAATCAAAATGTAGATGCGTTTCACCTGAGGACTAATATAAAATGCCTCATTACTTAAGTACAGTTACAGTTCTCTACACTAACCATATGAATTGTGTTTATATTTATTCTATTCTCGATTAAGAATCAAAATACAGAATGCGTTTACTTTTTTTATAATAGGATAGGCGGGCAAACGAGCACGCGGCTCACCTGATGGTAAGTGACTACCACTACCCATGAACAACTGCAACACCAGGGGAATTGCAGATGCGTTACCGGCCTTTTATAAAGGAGTAGGCTCTTTTCTTGTAGGCCCCTAAGTCGTATCGGTCCAGAAAAATCGCCGGTGATAGTCGATTCCACAAGGAAGTTGTGCGTGGAAGAAAACATCTTCTAAATCTCACAGTGGTGGACCGCCAATCATCCAGATAGTATGGATGGTATCGCGAATTTTATCGCGATGTGCGATGGTGAAATTGAGCGGCTGGAATTAGTCCGAACAATTCCTCAGAGCACTCCCCGTGGTAGATGCGATAAAATACGCAAAGAGATGCAACATTTCTTCGCAGTGCCAATGAATCGAGCCGATCGGAAAGGACTAGGTGGTCGACGATTCTAGCCGCTCCGCGTTGGATGAGGTCATGTGGAAGGAGCTGGCACTGGGGAGCTTCTGCCCAGAGATGGGAACAGTATTCCATGTGAGACAGAACCTGCGCCTTGTAAAGTTGCAGGCGGTGTGCCGGCATGAAATACTGTCCCGCTCTGCTGAGCACGCCAAGCTTTTTAGAGGCCAATTTGGCCTTCTCTTCCATGTGACCACGAAATTGCACGTCACTCGATATGTCGACTCCGAGGATTCCGATACTGGCTGAGGCAAGAAGGGGAGTGCCTTGAAACTGAGGAGATACGACAAAGGTGTTTTTTTAGCGGTAAACGCGCAAACTTGTGTCTTCTGAGGATTAAACTGGACTAGATTTAGTCGCCCCCAATCCGAGACTTTGTTCAGCAAAGACTCGACTTCAGACACAAGTTTGTACGGTATTCGGCGACGTTTTTTCGATAAATATTGGCACGGCCAGTGTATAGAGCATCATCACCCGTGCTGTCATCCGCATAGCAATAAATGTTACCGGTTTGTAACACATCATTGATATGCAGAAGAAACAGCGTTGGTGATAACACGCAGCCTTGTGGAACACCAGCGTTAATAAGCTTGTAATCGGAGCATGCACCGTCTACTACGACTTTGATGCTCCGATCAGCCAAAAAACTGGTGATCGAATTGCACAAATTCTCGGGAAGCCCATAGGAAGGGAGCTTCGAAGGAAGCGCTTTGTGCCAGACCTCATCGAAGGCTTTCGCTATGTCCAAACTAACGGCCAATGCCTCCTGGAGAGGAGTGCTTTTCGTACTGAGCACTGTGAATCGCACATCAGGCATAGAGCACTCACAATGCGGGATGGTCAGCAGTATGTTCCCCCCGTCATCGCGAGTAGAGTTGAACGCAAAAAGGGAGCCTAAAAGGTCGGCTTTCTATTTTGCGGCGTGGGCCAGTGAGTCATCCTCCTTGTGCAGAGATGGTAGTGATGGCTTACAGAAATTCCCTTGGACAGCCTTGGCTAGGGATCAGAATGCACTGGTTCCCGAAGGAACGCGACCTAGTTTCTCGCCAATTCTGTTTATGTGCTCTGACTTTGCCTTGGCAATAACTCTTTTGAAGGACTTGGAGGCGAAGTTACACTTCTTTTAAGCATGCTGGGGTTTACATGCCGAACCGCAGAAACCTCAGCCACAGCCAGGTCTGATAACACTTCTGCCTTCTGCGTAACGCAGTCTTACAGAAGCGACCAAACCAAGGCTGAGATCTGTCTCCGATGGGTATCACAGATGATGGAATAAATAGTTTCATTCCCTGTAGCACCACATCGGTGACAGCGTCAGCAACAGCGCTCGGATCATCCGGCAAAAAGTAAACCCACCCCCATGGGTAGGATGCAAAGAAAGACTGCATTCCGTCCTATTCAGCCGACCTGTAATGCCAAACACGGCGGCAACCTGCAGAACGCAACCGCGAGAAGAGCGTGAGTGGCACCAAACTCCGAATCGGACAATGGTCCGAAGAGCCGAGGGGCATCGACGAAAACCTGATATTCGTCCGGATGAGAGGTCAGTAGAAGGTCCAACAGGGAAGATGTATGATCCTCCACATCTGGAATCCACGTAGGCGAAGTAATCAGTTGTGTCAGACCATATGCCAAGGCAAAGTCATAAACAGATCTCACCGCATGATCGGTTAAACGTGAACAGAGCCATTCGGCGTGGTGGGCGTTAAAATCGCCAAGTAGCACGATCTCTACGGATGGGATCTGTTGCAGCAAGAAATCTTGTAGCCATTTAGACGTGTTTGATGAGTCGGTCTGTGTCGAGATTACCGCTAAGAGGCACCTGTAGACGCAGGGATGGTATGGCAAAGTATCAGCCGGAGAGGACACCTGCGTCTCAGTCAAAAAGAGCAAGGCCAGCTCCACCGTCTCTAGATGGTAGTGGACGGCGTTAAGGTTCGAGTAAAGTCCCCTGATGTTGCAGAAGTCCACGGATAGCGTGGCAGTGGTCGCCATGGTTTTATCGCTCTGTTTGCCCCGTGTAGTGTTAGTATAGAGCGGAGCAGCCTGAGCACCCACGCTCAGAAAGAAGAGGTTAGCTTGACAATTGATGCTCAGTGAGGGATTCTCCATTACTTACCAGGGGGTGCTGGTACTCTCCTGGGGTAGTAGTTTCTTTTTGAATTTTCGCTATCATGTTATGGGGGGCCTTACGGCCTCCGGCCGCCTGCACTAACCAAGCGAAACGCAGCAGCAAACCCTTTATGCTGATATTCTGTGAGGTCGTGGTACTACCTCGGTTCGAGCCAGCCCATCCATGCTATAGCAGAAGGTGCAGCGTGGCTCTTCCACTGTTAGAATACTGGTATAGTAGAATATATCGATAGGTAGAATAGTGGTAGCGTGACACTGCAGATATATTACAGTTGTCTTACGAATGGGTCGGCTCGACCGGGGTAGGACTACGCACCCACAGAATACCAGCGTAAAATAGCAGCTAAATGCTGCTGTTTTTACTGGAAATGAGCTATTAATTGAGAATAAATATAGATGTCTATAGGCCACAGCATCGACTTACCATCAGGTGAACTGTGTTGGTTGTCACCCTTATTCTATAAAAAAATGCGTTGTTACATAGTAGCATTTAAGTGCTATTTTACGCTGGTATTCTATGAAAGCGTGGTCCTTCCTTGGTTGAGCAGACCCATTTGTACTGCTGCTTTTAATGTAGCTGCAACGGGCTCTATCGCGTTAAACAATGCTGCTGAAATGCTACTGTAATATTTATTGTATTATTATTTAATAATAATAATAATAATATTTTATTTGCATAATAAATGGTATAAAACACTATTTCATCTTGCAGTACCTCTGCCACGGCCACGTCCACGCATGCGCCGGCGTAAATTCTGCGTGCGAGTCTGCATTCGATTCGCAGGTCGTCCAAATGTTCGCCCAAACTGCATACGACTGCCCCTGTATACATAATCATATTCTTCATCTATTTAATCTATAATAATGTCCTCCAGACCAATTTTTCGGTCATGGTGGTCAGTCTCAACAGAGACTAGCCATCTACGCAGGACATGATTAAAGTTTGAAGACTAGGTTTTTATTTGACGGCTCCGTGGCGCAGTGGCTTAGCAATGAGTTGCTGCGCTGGGGGGCGCGGGTTCGAATCCCGCACGGAACAAGTATTTGTATGGCCTACAAATGATTGTTCCGGGTCTGGATGTTTGTCCTTGTGAAATTTGTGTTTGTAAACTGCCTCCACGATACAGGAGAAAATCCTAGTGTGGGGGTAACGTTTTCTTTAAAAATATAGAAATATTTATTTATTTACCAACTCACAATTGTTATTACAGGAATGGAGCCTAATGCAACAATATGGCCACTAATGTAAAAAAGACAAATAGTTTAATGTCACCCTCTCGAATTCCGCCAATGTACAATTAAATATGTCTAATCGTTGTGCTACGATGTTAAGCATTCTAGCTGCACGGACAACCGGTGCGTACTTTAAGATATTTGTACGAGCAGCTGGTAGGTCCAGCAACCCTGCCCTCAGCCCCCGTCGCAGCCTAGGATTAGGCACGAGGAACCGCAGTGATTCCAGAATTTCCGGATTGTTTAATCTACCACGTAATATCAAGTATATGTACTTAAGTAGCGCAAAGTTCCGTCTAACCTCCAACTTATAATATCCAAGTATTCCTGTTACAAAAAGGGTTGGATACATAAGAGGATAAAAAGGGTACACCCCATATTGCTTTAAATAGAGGTACCGAGTAAATTTATTCTGTATTTTCTCCAGCATGAGGTTATACTTGGTCTCATAAGGACTCCAGATGATAGCACCGGTTTCGAGATTTCTTCTTACTAAAGCATTATATAATGATTTCACGGTGCCAGTGTTGAGGAAGTCATGCGTTTCACGCTTTATGAAGCCCAGGTTTTTAAAGGCCTTTTACACACTTGTGCAATATGAGTACGAAACGTCACGTTCTCGGTACTTCAACACCATTCTCAGAGAATCAAAATTTTAAAAAAAAAGTGTTTAAGGATAATTTAGTAAATCCTTCTTGATAATACCAAAAAAACGAAGATTAAAGTGGTTTTTTTTTTTTACTTATTATATGCCAGTTGCCAGACTCCACCACTTACCATCAGGTGGGATTGGTCAAGCAATTCCACCTGATGGTAAGTGGTAAATCGCACTGTCTTAGCGTAACAAAAGCCTATTCACTCTTGCCTTGAAGACGCCCAGATTGTATTCGGACGGAAAGACAGACGCAGTTTTTCGATAATTGAACTACTTGCCCAAAGACCACTATAATAAATCTGCGGGTCTTTTTTTTTGTTTAAATTCATTCTTATTCTTATTAAAAAATCTCAATTGCATAGATGCTAACTAACCAATCAAACAATATTTTACCAATAATTTACAGAACATTTAGATCACATTATTATAATGTATTTTTTACCAAAAATATTTCTAAAGAAAACCTGACAGTTTTGAGACCCTTTGAGAATGATGGTATCAAATACCACACTATTGACTTAAAAGGTTAAATCATTCAACTCCCATCAGAGTAGAATGATTTAATTTTTTTTTTTACGAAACAATCAATAAATATTTTAAAGGTTTAAGGTAGTATTGGAATATAAATAAAAACTAGCATATACCGTAATCTTCCACGTAAGGTACCGACTCTGCCACGTAGAGCACCGACCCTTCCGCCTCGACGACGGAAGCCCCGACCCCGCCAAGTTCCTTGCGATAAGTTACCAAACGACGCTGAGCGGCTGTAAAAAGGATTGCATAGTCATTGGCACAACTTAGGATCTGCCAGTTTTAATGGGACCTTATATAGGACAATATGTGGCAAAATGGTTGAGGTTGAGGTTTTATTTTTTGGAGCTACAAATTAAAAGCCAGGAAGTTATAGTGAATCCCATAAACAAAACTTTAAAGTAAGAGTTTTAAGGCAAGGAAATATCCGCCGCTCTTCCCCAATGTGTGTTGGCAGGCTTCATATATCTTTGAAATATTTTTTTTTTAATTTCTAAAACCCGCATGGGTTTCCTCACAATGTTTTTCTTCACCGCCGGGCACGTTTACTACATTTTCATTAATCAACACTTAAAACTGCAGTTTACAATTACATTGGTGCTGGTGGGGATCGAACTAGAGTTGTTGGACTAACAGTGCTATTAATCAATAATTACAAGTTTATGTTAACAATTTTAGTAGAGCCAGCAGTATAGAGCTCAAAGATATGCCACATATTTCACACAATATATAAACTCTCTTGGATGTCACCCAAAGAGGTAGGCAGAAAATGCAAGAAGTCTGCTTGGCATAATCCTGACACACTTTTTTTCATAGGATAGGGTGGCAAACGAGCACACAGTCCACCTTATGGTAAGTGGTTGCTGTGGCCTATAAGACATCTACATTTATCCTCATTTGAGAATCATAATGCAGATGCATTTTCACCTGTGAGGACTAAGATGGAATGCTGCTTTTCCAGTAAAAAGTGTCTCATTGCATGCATGGTCCTTCCCCGGTTGAGCCGACCCATTCGTGCTACAACTATACTACTAATGTAGCTACAGCATGGCTCTACCACATATACTACACTTCTCTCACATCTGTCATATCCATATATCTACATGCATGATCATTGGTTAAGAGTATTCTTAATTTGGCCTCTTTCAATATATCGACCAGGAGGGCATCCCGACATAAGTGCTACCATCACCAACATAAATAGCAGAATCATTACCAATATGAAAGTTTTAAAATAATTAGGATAATTACAGAATGCATCGGTTCATCCATTTTGTAGCTTACCTTAAGTTATTGTTTGATTGCCGCCAAGCAACTCTGTTCTTTATGTTTTGTCTTTGATTTAGATTGCCAAAACTGTTGGAGCGTCTGAGCCCTGGCAAGCTGCTCTCACTACCATAGCGTCTCAATGGGCCAGCTATGCCAAGTCGTTGTTTGAGAGCTTGCTACATAAAAAGTACATTTAATTCAATAATTGTACATTAAGAAACACTCTTATCTTACATGTTTAATATTATGTTATAAAAAATTAGTATGTAAAATATTTTAACAGTGGTAGAGCCACGCGGCAGCTTTTGCTGTCGCACGGATGGGCCGGCTCGAACCGGGGTAGTACCACGACCTCACAGAAAACCAGTGTGAAGTAGAGGTTTACCTCTGCGTTTCGCTTGGTGAGTGCAGGTGGCCGGAGGCCCTTTTTACTGGAAATGAGGTATTCCATCTTAGTCCTCACGGGTGACAACGCATCTACATTTTTATTTGTAACAGAGGATAGATGTAGATGTCCATGGGCCGCAGCAACCACTTACCATCAGGTGGACTGTGTGCTAGTTTGTCACCCTTATCCTATAAAAAAAAAAAATATAAAATTTCATTGTTTTTGTTAGATATTTATTATTCTATAACAGTTGAACTTATTTACCCCAATCCCAAAGATCAAGTGAAAATCATGATTTTTCAATGAGATAATATTTTGTAACCTAAAATAAGATATACTTATTAATATAAAATAATTGGCCATGTAGTGGCAGTGTAAGAATATCTACTACCCCATATCGCCCTGTTGATGTAAGAGACCACAAAGGTAAGCAAACAAGGAGATGGACAGCAGAGATTATTCTGGCAATAATTTTTTATGATTTTAAGAGTTCACTCTCTCAAAATTACATTGCTCGTCTTCAACATTCTCAGGGAAGAACCTCATTTGGGCGTCAAGGCGTTCATACACAGAATTTGATCATAGCTGTTTTTCCCCATGAAGAAATTTGTGAAAGTCGGTCCTCGACTGTGATTACTGAGGAAAATGTGGCGTCAGGCAACTAATTAAAGAAAACCGGTGCATTGATATTGAATTTGGTACGATATTCAAAGAAATTTACATCACCATTTACTAATTACCACTGGATTTCTTGTGAACTCGCTCTAGAACAAACTTGCTGGAGTTGATTGGTGTAAAAAATGTTGTTAAAGTATGATCACAGATGTTGAATATTATATGGCATTGGTACAGGAGACAAAATATAGATATATTTTTACATTCCAAAATAAAGCAAGTCTTCTGTATGTGTTCAAAGGCGACAACAAACCAACAAAAATATAGGCAGGCTAGGAGGATGTGCAAAAAAAAAATTGCAATTTTTTTCTAACAGATAGATTCTGTCTGCACAATCACACTTAGTGAGCAAAAGACAGTAAGTGATAAATGGCATACCAACATTTCTTTCCCCAGTGTCTTTCAAAATTAGGAAAGAGCAGCCAAGAAGTCGATCCTATCGCATCAAGACAATGCTTCGGTGCACACCCCAAACAAGAAAAAGTCATGATTAGCTTCTGAAAAGGTGGAGCTTGTGACCCATCCCACACACAGTCCAGAGTTTGCACCATGCAATTTGTTTATTTTGCTAAAATCAAAGATTCAATGAGAGGTTTCATATTTACAGACCCAGAAGAGGATGTGATAGCTTTCAACAAGCACCTTTACATATAAATGGTTTTATTTACGAGTGGACTTTCAGTGTACTATACGTAATTGTATCTACTTCAAACATATTAACCCAAACTAGTTAACTTTTTTACATAGGCCTCTTTTTAGTGGATTAACAAGAGAAAACATCTGCTTAACATTTTAGTCATCTTAATGGATGAATAGAATAAAAATTCAGGCCAAGTATGTATGGGGCCATGCACAATGTTGAGGTAGGGTTTCATAGTTGCCCGTCACAATACATGGGCTTTCTTGATAATGAGCACAATAAGCGAGTTCGCGCGGTTTGACCGCTATAATGACTAAAAATGGAAAATAATTAATAGAATCAGGCATTATTTTGCGGAAATCCATTATATTAAAATTTTCAAAAAGTTACCTCATGTACATTCCAGCACCACTACTCAATTAGTGGTGACGGGGATAGTGTACGCAATTGAGGGAGGGCGGGAGGTGCACTTCAAACTAGGTAAGACGCATCATATTATTTTATGGAGCGGATGTACACGAGGTAACTTTTTCATAACTTTAAAAATGGGAAAACTTATTTTCAAATCAGACTTATAGGAAGTGGTATTCAAAAAAGATTAAAAAACTTTTCTATTTTGAAAATAATACAATTTACATTAAATCACTCACATACCATGGTACAGATATTATCATAGTTGACTATTTATCTATATATTCCTGGCAATGCAACCCTAAAATATGCATATGAGGAGAGGTCAAAAAGTTTGTGGAATGGCAAAGGTGAGTTTATTCATCCAGATAGGCGCTAGTTAAGTGACTCATTGTTAGAATATTTACCAAGTTTCAGCCTAATCGGATCATTAGCTTTTGAGTTATCAACGAGTAAACAAGCCAATTGGGAAGAAACTAGACACTATGAAGAAAATTAAATATCACACCGTCATTAAGTTTCTCACCAAACAAGGAAAGACACCTCAAATCATTTTTCAAGAGATGTCAGCTGTTTATGGGGACTACGCTCCTAGAAAAACCATGATTTATAAATGGCATGCCCTTTTCAAGCAAGAGAGGGACTCCATTGAAAATGAACACCCACCTGCATGGCCAATTGAGGCAACCACGCCAGAAATAATCGAAAAAGCGGAAAAACTTGTATCAGATGCCCGGCTAAAGAAAAAACAGCTTGCAGGCATGACTAGTCTGTGCAAGATGGGTTCCAAGACTGCTATCTGCTCATCAAAAACACGAGCGGGTCGAAAGTTGTCGCGAGTTTTTGGCCCACTGTGGAGAGTAAAGGGGTGAAGTTATGGGCCGAATTGTAACTGGCTATAAAATTTGGGTTCACCATTATGAACCTGAGTAAAAGCAAGAGTCGATGCAGTGGCATAAAAAAAGACACATCCCCTCCTAAGAAGTATAAGGTGACTCAATCGGTCGAAAAGATCATGGCGACGATCTTTTGGGATACAGGAGGTATCCTTTGATTGATTATAAGGTATGTGGTGTTTCCATAATGGGAGAATTCTAAGCTTCTTTACTAGATCATTTAAAAGAAGCTATTAAAGAACAAAGGCGACGACAATGCGCCCGTGCACACAAGCCATGTTGAAACGTCTGCCATTCACCGGTGTGGATTTGGACAACTGTGCCACCCACCCTACAGCCCAGACCTGGCCCCAAGCAACTATTATTTGTTTCCGAAAATGAAGAAAGAACTGTGTAAGAAAAAATTTGGCGACAATGATAAAGTGATGTCAGCAATTTCGGCCTATTTTGACGCCCAAGACAAATCTTTTTTTGAAATTGTATTAATCAGATCTAATAAATGATTTAAGAAAAGAAAAAATAGTTTAATGTTTCATTTCATTATCCTTCCCTGTCATTCCACAAACTTTTTTACCTCCTCTTGTATATGACCGTAATGAACCATGTAAACCAGCACTACTGCCCTAAATTATGCAGAGGTCACCCGCCTAAACCAAGAGTGTGACAAATGAAACTGTACAAGGGTATACGATTGTATGAATACTTTGAATGAGGTATACAATAACTACCAACTATAAAATAAGTGAAAGTAGAAGTAAGAAAGATCCTCCCTTCCTGTCCTGCAAATGAAAAAGTAAAGCTATAGTAGTAATGCATAGAAGTCGTTTTCTTTATAAAATCACAGAATAAAAATAATAGTTTCATTTTTAACAGTTTACAATAACACTACAAAGTTGTAATGCAGCTAGTTTTAGGTCATCTTCTATGGAGTTCTATGGAGTTGTAATCTAAGTGCATTTTTAAGTTGGTCAACGACTATTACTCTTTAATCTCTTAATTCTACTTAGCTGTGATAGTTTTCCTTTTAACTTCATTATATATACTATTAACATGTATACTTTCACATTGCCAAAAACAGTTTAAATGGTAGAGGGGGAAACACATGACAAATGAAAAAGACCACTTTAAACCGAAATATTTTGCAATCGGACCCCTGAATCGGTAAGAAGTTGTTTCACACCCCTAGTATTTCTGAAAGACCTATCTAATGATACCTCACATGACGGAATAGACGGGTAAAAAAAAATCATCCTCCATTTACTTGTATGAGAGTACCCAAAAAAAAAAAGTTATTTAAAATTTTATTTCAGTTTTCTAGGCATGATTAATGTATATAACTATGCCAAATTATAGATTTATAGTTCCTAGGGTCTTTAAGCAAAACCACAGACGGACGGACGGACGGATGGACATGGCGAAACTATAGGGGTTCCTTGTTGTGTAACTACGGAACCAGAAAAAGCTCAATGATTAAAACATTCATAAGTAAGACCGTATAAAAGGTGTACTGAAAAGGGAATAATCCAAATATTATATAATCCCTGTTACTTGCACGTCTAAGACATATCTAACAATCCCATGTGTTAAGATCCTACAAAGCATTTAGACTCCAGAGCATCCCAAAAATAGACATACATACACTGGATCGAAGAATCTAGATCTCAAATGGAAGACTACCCACTTTCTAAGGGAGTAGGGTAAAAATGAAGAGTAAATACACAGTTTATACGTACCCTTCTGGCTTGAAGCTGCAATTTCCTCGCAATCTGTTCAATAAGGTTTCTGTTGTTTATGTCAAAGCCTTGATTAAAAAAGCCGATTGAGCCGAAAGACCCGATGTTAGTGCGCCTCCGCGGAGTCCTGGCGCGTGTAACACGATCAGGAGCCGCTGAAGCCAGCATCGTAAACCGGTCATTAAGACTAATTCCTGTGGCCTGCAAACCGTGCACTTTTTCTATAACCATCTTTTATACCGCGAATGCTACAATTGCTGTCAAATTAACTGTAGCTACTCTAGAAAGGAATTGTTGTCATTAATTTAAAAAAGACCAAATGCAAATAAATATTTTAAGTGAATCGAGAAAAAACGCTAAAAATTAATATATTTTTCAGCGTGACGCCGACCCCGCGAATCTTGTCTTGTTGCGGTCGTCCGTAGGTATTTTACTTTATCTGTGTTCTGTGTTTGTGACAGAATGGAAACGGGATTGCATTAAAAATTTAAAAACAATAAAGAAACTTCAGTAATAAAATTTAAGTACTTTAACAATGACTTCTTATATACATAATTTAAAAACTTGCAAAAATATATAATGTCTTGATCAATATTGCACTAAATTTTATTTTCACATGTTATTTATTTATTTATTATGCGTAAGCCGAAACTATCCAGCAACTTCGTTACATGTTCATTGTTCAGTTTATTCATACTTAAAAAAAAGTGTATATTTATTTTATAAAAATTGCGAATTCTAATTATGATGTGCTAGACGACTAGTGCTAAAGTTAATAAAAAGGCTTTTTTGCCTTTTGTACGTGAAAAATAAAATTGGTATTAATAAAGTATGTAAGTTGAAAAAGTCGACGAAGTGTAAAGGATCGATACACGTCATATGTCAACTGTCAAATAATTTTGACATTCCATTTCATAAGCAGTAAAAACACGAAATTGAGAACTTCCAATTTGCAATTATACCGAAAATCTCCGCAAACTTGAAATAATGTTGCACCATATTAACCGCTTAATCAAAGTTCTGGTGCCTTAGGTGCGCAGTTTAGCGTAATACTACAAGTTACTAGCGTTTTTGTTTGTTTATGCGCATTGTGCTGCAATTTGCCGGTTACGATGTTGGTTTGCCTTTTAAACGAGCACCGCGATTGCGGGCCGCTCATTTCGATCAAACCTACGATGTCGGACGTTGGTAACGACTCGCTACTTGACGAAGTTTGTTGGTTCGATATGGACGCTTGCTATGAAACGTTTGACAAAGATGGGTATGTTTATGTTACTTAAGAGATGCTATCATTCTCAAAAAGTTTGAACACAGTATTAAAATATATAATACTATAGATATTCATATTATTTTTATATTCTATTCTATAGTTTTCCAAATTTTTTGCATTGTATTTTGAATTATATTTGCAAGGAAATGGAAAGGATATAACTGCATTTTCATGATTTTGTTTTATGCACAGCAGTATTAGTATGTACAGTAGTATTATAGTATGCAGACCTTGATTATTTTAGGCAAAAGCATTTTCTTCATTTCTAGTTATGGATATTTCTCTGTAAACTGGGCAACTCATTCTAAGAAAGTTGTCTCTGCAACTTTTTTGCTTATATATTTAAAAAATCTTATTCAGGCAATATATATCTACCTATTAAATAATAAATGGCTGATTATTAATCATAATATATCCATTACTTCAGAAATTTCTGAAATATGAATACAGGGGACCTTTGCCTACTGTGTATTTACTTTGGGGACTGTGTATTTAAATGTTAAATACCATTTTAGTACCAAAATTAATAAGTTTTTATTTTCATAAAATTTAGGGTTTTAGGAACGAAGTAATTAAACAATAAAAAAATCTACAGTTATTTTTATAATATTCTACTAATACTCAAATTTCTCAGATTCTGAATCAGTGAACATATCTTCCACAATAAGTTTTGGCTTATTTTCTTAAAATATTTTACCGATATTAATTGTAGACAACAATAAAAATAAGCAGCTTAGATGTTTCATCACTATTTGTGCCAACAAAATATTTCACCTTGGTTACTTTTTAAATTAAACTAATTTTTATGGATTTTATTGTGTTTAACTTAACTTTTTAATTTACGACGTTTTGGGTGCTTTGTAGAGGTTCTGGAAAAAGCTTTAATCCCACTTCTCATGTTAATATTATTTAAATAAAAGAACACTGCTCTGTAACAAGCCCTGCTTACTATCAGGACCCAATATATTTGGATAACACCGAAGTATGGAAACCAACAGCATCACTACCCATTTCAATGTAACACAGGGTAGCATCTCAGCAACACAATATTCCTTGCCCACTATTGTAGAATACCCCAACGGGCATAGTAACGACAGTGAGGCTTGTAGAATTACCGACTGATACCTCTTAGTAGCCTGCCCATTACTTTATACTGCTAAAACAAGTGGGAGATTACCATTCTACCTTCATTTGTTTGTATTTCCTTTTATATTTTTACCCTCATGCCGAACAGTATACTATAAGCACAGTCTGAAAAAAAAAATGTAATGCATCTAGACCTGGAAAGCAATTAAAATATTAATTTCGTCTGTGAATTGAAGGCACTTCTCCCTAGCCAACATGCCACTATGATGACTGCTAAATCACTTGTCAAAATGTGAATTATAATTTGGTTCAGAGTTGAAGGAATTCATTCTAAAATTTTAAAACAGGGATGGCAAGCTGAGCTTTGACGAGTTCAGACTGATTTGTAAGGCCCTCTTCCGCAACGACAAGGGCCACATTTACACATTGCCTGAAGAGCAGGCAAGACACATATTCCAAGTGTTTGACAAGAATGATGATGGTTTTATTGATAAGGAGGAGTTCACATTCTGCTGGAATCATTGGATTAAAGTGGTAGGTGTCTTATTGAATAAGTAACTTTAGCCTTAAAATGTTCTACTCTGGGACAAGAATCTCTTATTTGTGATAGTATTATAAATGTGGAAGATGAAAAGTGGACAGTTGTTCGATAGTCTGAAAACTGAGCAAGATAAAGCTCCCCGATAATCAATATATGAGAGAGGCCTGTGAAATATATAGATATTTGTATAACCAAATTTTATACCAAAGCCAAATTTTATAAAATGTAGTTATAGTAATAGGTAAAACTATATTCCACATGTAAAATACGTGCTATTTTGTTTTTTGTGCATTGTATTTGAATGCATTCATTACAGTCTATCAAAAGTCCACTGTTAAACATAGGCATCTCAGATAAATTCAATAAATGGGTGAAGCCTATGTTTTAGTATGTGGTAGAGCCATGCTGCAGCTATATTAATAGTATAGTTGTAGCACGAGTGGGTTGGCTCGACCAGGGAAGGACCACGCTCTCACAGAATACCAGCGTAAAATAGCATCTTGATGCCGCTGTGTTTCGAATGGTGAGTGTAGAGAACCGGAGACCTATTTAACTGGAACAGAGACATTCTATCTTAATCCTCATGGCTGACAACGCATCTGCATTTTAATTCGCAAACGAAGATAGATGTAGATGTCTATGGGCCACACCAACCACTTACCATCAGATGGACTGTGTGCTTGTTTGTCACCCTTATTCTATAAAAAAGTATATATATTTCTATAATAAAATTTTATACCTATGCCCAATTTATAAAATGCTATTATTGTAATGGGTAAAAATTTCAACGCGTAACATACGCGCGATAGTAGCCTACTGCCTACTATATTTTTTTTAATTTAAAAACATTACCCCCACGCTAGGATTTTCTCCTGTATCGTGGAGGCAGTTTACAAACACAAATTGCACAAGGACAAACATCCAGACCCAGAAAAATTATTTGTAGGCCATACAAATACTTGTTCCGTGCGGGATTCGAACCCGCGCCCCCCAGCGCAACAACTCATTGCTAAGCTTCTGCGCCACGGAGCCGTCAAAAATATCTTCTTTCTTCTTCTTTATTGTCCTGTAAAAGTTCTCAGCTGGACAGAAGCCCCTGTTGCTTAGCTGGTTAGGTTTTTTTTTAAAAAGAATAAGCGTGACCAACGAGCACACAGTCCACGTGATGGTAAGTGAATACTTTAGCCCATAGACATCTACATTTATCCTCGATTAAGCATCATAATGCAGATACATATAGCAGACGACGGGCCTACAAACACTACGTTTCTTGTGTAGCCAAATGCTCAGTCAATGCACTGGAGCCGTCGATATATTTACGTGGTATAGCCATGCTGCAGCTTTATTATGATTGTAGCACGAATGGGTCGGCTCTACCGGGGAGGGACCACGCTCTCGCAGAATACCAGCGTAAAATAGCAGATCAATGCTGTTGTGTTTCATATGGTGAGTGTAGAGAACCGAAGAATCTTTGTACTGGAAACAAAGCGTTCAATCGTAGTCCCCAGGGGTGACGCATCGCATTTTGATTATAGAGCATTCACTTACCATAAGGTGGACTGTATGCTCGTTTGTCATCCTTATTCTATAATAAAAAGAAACATACGATTACATTTTGGCCGATTTGGATCATGGTGAGGACTACTATTGTCAAGCTTTTGACAGAAGATGTGCAAGAAATATTACAATGCCATTAACAAGTAAACATGTACGTTTTTTTATATAAAATGGACAGGTCCAACGAAAACCAGCGCATCCCATGGTGCACCCATGAGATTTGGTGTTTTTCGTTTACACGGAATCACTCTTCCATTCTAAGCTACCCGAGCTAGATGTAAGCTTCACCACCGCGCCTCGCGAAAAAACTCGCGATAACATCCCTACCATCCTATATGATTGGCAACCCACCACTGTGCGATGTTTTCTATAGACTTCAAAAAGGAGATGGTACTAAATTCGACTGTGTTTTCTTTACGTGTGTTACCTCATAACTTTTTTGGGTGAACCAATTTCGATGATTCTTTTTTTATTTGTAAGCTGGTGCTTTTCATATGGTCCCATATACATTTGATCAAGGTTTGACCTATACTTTTTGAGTTATTCTTAATAATTTATATTGAAGTTGGTTGTACAAAATTCTAAATTATAGAATGTTTCTTTCTCGCACAACTTCCTTGTGGGATCAGCTATTTTCCGGACCGATACGACTTAGAGACCTTCAAAGAAAAGAGCCTAGTCATGCAGAGTATGGTCTTTCCCGGTTAAGGCGTTGACGTGTCCCAATCTCTAACCTATTTTTTTATTTTTTTATTTTTATTTTAATAAGGATAACAACAGCGTATATCACTAAATACAATTTTCAATTTCACTTCAAGTATGCCAATAACAGTCATCCACATATTAAATATAAAGGTAAGCCAGGTACAATTATAATAAATAAAAACAATGCAAATTAGACCAATTTAAAACAGCTTAATAAAATAACAGTAATAAAAATAAAAATTAAGTAATTTTAGGTTTACTAACGCTTACATATTAAGCCTTACTGATAAAATTGATATGCGATTTACTTCTCGAGTATTTTTTATTAATTTATTTATATAATGGCATATTATATTATATCTATCATACATATATATACATACATACACATACATACATATATATACATATTATATTATATCTATCATACATATACATATATACACATACATACATACACACATACACACACATACATATACATACATATTCTAAAATATTACATAGTTTACTTATTATTTAAATATAGATACCTACAGAAAGTGTTCTTCATAATGTACCCTACCTGCATCCTACGTAAATGGTTACAAATACAGGCAATTCAAACAACAGAAGCTGTGTTCAAAATGAATGCACGTACCTTGTTTTTAAAATCACTTTTACTGCCTATAAAGGGATCGATGGTATTAAATGTTTTGTTATAATTTGATAACAATCGTGTTAAGATACTATTTTTACCGTAAAGTGTGGAGTGACGAGGAATACAAAACATAGTTTCCTTGGTGATTCTAGTACGTTTTCTTTGCACATTAAACGTGACAGTATTCAGTAAATCCGGACAGTCAATACCTTCGCGTAAAATATCATATAGAAATCCCATATCTAACAGTCCTCGTCTTTCTTCGAGCGTAAGAAGGTTATAGTGTCGGCAGTCATCTAAATATGATGAGCTATTATGTTTAAATTTATAGTTCAGGTGTGAAATAAATTTACGTTGAATTCTTTCAATATTGTTAATGTAAATTTTAAAAAACGGTGACCAAACCTGGCATGCATACTCAAGAGTGGATCTTACATACGAAAAATAAACTATTTTAAGACTTAGTAATTCCGTAAATGGAAGACATGTGCGCATGACAAATCCAAGATTACGAAAAGATTTACTACATATACTATTGATATGATCTCGCATGGTCATGCCAGCATCAAAGAGTACGCCTAAATCTCGAACAACTGTGACCCTCTTAATTAAAATTCCATTAAAATTATAGGGAAATACTATTGGATTCAATTTCCTGGTGAAAGATATACACTGACATTTAGATATGCTTACATTTATGCCGTTAGCTACGTAAAAGTTATATAAAGAGGCAAGATCTTTTTGAATAGATTCGCAGTCTTCAATAGTACGAACACTGAGAAATATTTTCTTATCATCGGCGTACAGTAAGTGATGACAGTTACTTATAAATTTATGTATATCAAATATATATGCGTTGTAGAATAGGGGGCCAAGATGAGAGCCTTGAGGCACGCCAGATGGGATAGTAATAAAATCTGACCTGTATCCTCCGAGAATAACTGCCTGAGATCGATTCATTAGATAAGATTTTACCCATCTAAGCAGATCTCCATGAATTCCGAGCGCCTGGAGCTTTTGTAGCAAGACAACATAATTAACACGGTCAAAAGCTTTTTCGAAATCCGTGTATATCACGTCAACCTGACCACCGTTTTCCATATGATTGAGAACGTACTCAGTGAAGCAGGCAAGATTAGACGTGGTAGAGCGTCTCTTCAAGAAACCATGTTGAGAGTTAGGTATACCTTTTATAATAATTGGATAAATTTTATCAAATACTAGTTTTTCAAAAATTTTCGCAACAGTGCTAAGAATCGAAATTGGGCGGTAATTATCTATCTTAGATTTGGCGCCTTTTTTATGAATAGGAATTATATGCGCTCTTTTCCATAACAATGGAAAAACAGAATGTTGTAGAGAAAGTTTAAAAGTAAAGAAATTGGGTAACTTAAGCTATCGGCGCAGGACTTCAAGAACACAGGAGGCACTCCATCATAACCAGCCCCTTTGTTTGAATCCAAGTGTTTAAGATACTTAAGAACAGCTTCCCGGGATATATTTATGCTAGAGATCTGATCTATGCTCATATCGGAATGGTTATGAAACTCACTTGATGGTAAAACAGAATCAGTAAATACGCTTTTGAAATAGTTATTAAATGCTGAGCAAATGTCCTGCCCATTAGAGTAATTCTTATTGTTAAAAGAGAAATTTTGAGGATAAGTGGATGTCCCTCTCTTTGACTTAACATATTTCCAAAAGTACTTAGGCGACGTTTTCAAATTTTTTTCAGTGTTACACGTGAAATGCTCGAAACATTTCTTTTGTATACGATGTTGTCTATCTCTAAGCAATTTAAACTCTTCATAATCACGAGGATTCTTCCATTTTTTCCATTTTTTATGGGCTTTAGATTTCTCCCGTAAAATTTTTATCAATGCAGTGCTGTACCAACATGGGTAATAATTATTACAAGAGGGTACAAGAGGAACAAATAGGACAAAGCATTCGTTTAATTTTTTATAAAAATTTTCTACAGCATGATCTACTGACGCGGTATTCAACAGCAACTCATTCCAATCAACCTTATTCAAAAATTCATTGATGATTGTGTAATTACATTTTCGGAAATTATACTTCGGTTGAGGTTTCTCTTTTAAAGGTTTGATGGAGAGATCAGTGACATCAACCGTGAATGGAGGATGAAAATCATCTAATCTGGAAAGAGGATCCGATTTTTTTATTTCTAAATATAAGTTTGAAAAACACAAGTCGAGGACATTATTACAACGATTTTGAATAAAATTAAATTGATTCATACCTAAAACGCTCAGATCCTCAGCCAAGGTATTAGCAGCTAATTGAACCTCAGATTTGCCTATCGGTATCAAAGACCAACCATCAGTGTTCCATGTTAAACAAGGCAAATTAAAATCACCAATAATCATAAAGAAGTCCGATTGTGACGTATGATAAAAACGCTCAAAACTGATTCTAAATTCATTAATATACTCAGCTAATTTAACTTCATCTGGTGGTATGTAAACTAGTATTATATTTAGGTTGTATTGTGAGCCGAGTAATCGGGCTGGCAAGCTGACACATATAGATTCAAAATATTTACAACCCCAGTCTACACGCTTAGTCACACCTAGCTCACGACGGGTACAAATCATTACACCTCCACCCGAACTCTTATTCGTAGCCACCAAGTTTCTATCGCAACGGAATACATCAAACCTGCCATCACATAATTCGTTATCAAATATATCATCTTGCAACCAAGTTTCTGTAAGGAGTATAACGTTGTAGTTGCACGATAGTATATTATTATATAAGTCAAGGCATTTAGTACGGAGACCACGTACGTTCTGATAAAATATATTTAATTTTCTATCTAAAGACATAATTAAGGAATGAATATGAATCTACAAAGTTTTTTTAATAACTTCCCGTGCAACCAACACGGTGCAAACAATGAATAAAAATAGTGACCAGTAAAAACAAACTTAAAATTACGTTTTAGTGTACAGCATAAGCTACTAACAGCCTCATAACAGTTATAGTAGTGTATTACCTCAAAGACTGACAAATCATGGACGTAAACAGACACATAATATGACGACAGTGACGATATGATTACTACGATGCGGTAAATTATAATAGTTAAAATAGTTTCACGAAATAGGTTGTATATACTCTTATAAGTAGGCAACAATATACACAATAAAGTTATGAAACATGTGTTATGTGTTTTATATAAATATTGTAAGTGCATTACATAAATATAAAATACTTTATATAATAATACGTATAAATAAAAACATGATCTTATTGTTATACATAAATACATTACGATATTAATATCAGTGTTAACAGATAAATAATAATGCTTACCTAGATAATTATAGCCTAACTTTGTGCACAACACAGTGTGTTCACTTACTAAGTACTCGTAGATGCAAACTAAGATAAGATCAAAACTTACAAATAGTCAGACAATTTTTAAAACATCTGACCTGTCTTTAATACGTAAAGCGTGAGTGGTATCGTTTTTTCTAACGAAGATTTTTCCATCACGAACCCACAAATATTGGTATAGGGCAGACTTCATTTTTAATTTAGTATTTTTAAGAAGTAGTTTGTTAGACGGTGTTAAGTGTTCATTAACATATATTTTGGACCCCTCGTCAGGAAAGCCGATGTCGCAGAGTCTAAGTCCCTTCTTAGCACGCACCGCTGCAAGGATAGAATCGCGCAGCATACGGGATCTCAGCTTCACTACGATTGCCTTGGGACGACCGGGAACCACCTTAAACGGACGAATCCTCGTTATGTGAATTACGTCATTTGCTGATAGTTCGATTCCCAAGAAATTAGTTATATTACGGAAATAAAATGACAAATCCTCTCGTGTTTTTTCAGGGATTCCAGTAATCTCAAGGTTGTTTAGTCTAGCTTGTTGTTCAACTTCGTCCATTTTAATCTCAAGGGATCGAACTTGTGTGGACAGTTCTGTAGACTGAGAATTGACACTCTCACATGCTTGCAGTCTACTCTCAAATAAATCCTGCCTTTGTATAGATGTACTGATAGATATTTCCATTTCGGATAGACGTGCACTGGTTTCCGAGAGTGATTTATTAATTTTTGAGTTGTCCTCAGTAAGTTTTTGTAAGATTAAATTTATTTCACACAAGTTCGAAGTAACATGTGATAGTTGTTCGGTAATTGCAGAGTTGACAGCGGTAGTGATACAATTAGTTATGCTATCATTAAAAAGTTTCATTTGCTGTTCCATCCTTTGCTCAAATATTGCAAGCATTCCATGGTCACCGCATTCAATTTGTTTCCTTTTGCGCGAGTTAACGTAGGATTCCATATCTACCGACATATTAGATACATCGGGGTACGAGGAGACTTTGATCGGAGATGCGCGTTGCGAATTGTTCATTGTTTACGACGACAACAAGTCACACGATGAGTGGAAACGGGACGAAAACTAGCAATCCGACTCTTCAGGCGGGGGTGAGGCGCCCCTCAGTTATGACCACGAGCAGCGGAGCGTGAGCGAGACCGAAACAGCGGCGAAAAAATATATTTGAAATTGCACTGCACTTTACGCACACAGCATTAGCAGTAATCCTTATTACAGGTAGGGTGATTATAGCACGCACATTAGAAACTAATTAGCGCACAAAAGTTGTACACAAGTGTCTTCAAAGGCAGTCACACGAGATATGTACGGATGGTAATAACTCCTGGGAATGAGATGATCAGTACCAAGCTATTTCTAATCTATTTTGTGTAGTTAATAGTGTAACATCTATACAAATAAATAAAATTGAAGTCTGTTTTTAATGTCAAAATAACATCTTTTTTATTAAATGCATGTAAAAGTATATATGGTACTTGTAAAAAAAAACAGATTTTGAAATTTTTGTCTGGTGTCTTTCTGTCTGTTTGTTCCTGCTAATCTCCGAAACGTTTGGACCGATATCGACGAGACTTTCACCGGCAGATAGCTGATGTTAAAGGAAGTAACTTAGGCTACTTATATTTAAAAAAAAGAATTAGGGTTCCGTGCAAAAAATTAAAACCCTAAATTACACGCGGTCGAAGTCGCGGCGAACAGCTAGTCGAAAATAAAATTCTAACTTACGTATTTCATCACAGATAGTGCGTCCAGTAAACGCGTTCCTGATCGTGGATGTGCAGAATGACTTCATCTCCGGCACCCTGAACATTAGCAAATGCAACGCGCAGCAAGATGGCAGCGAGGTAAGTCTAAATATCTGTATTAACTGAATTTTGTATAAATGCCAATTTGAAAGCCATATTTGTTATTCATTATCTATATTTATACAAATAAATAAAATTGAAGTGTCTGTTTTTAATGTCGAAATAACAGCTTTTTACTATATGCATGTGAAAGTATATACGTTACTTACGTATAACAAAAACATGATTTTTAAATTTTTGTCTGTCGGTCTGTTTGTTCCGGCTAATCTCTGAAACGGCTGGACCGATTTTGACCGGACTTTCACTTGCAGAGATAGCTGATATTATAAGAAGAAACTTAGGCTACTTTAATTTAAGAAAATGAATTAGGGTTCCGCTCAAAAAATTAAAACCCATGAACTCCAATCGTAATAAATTACGCGCAGGCGAAGTCGCGGGGAACAGCTAGTTATAGAATATAATGGAAGTACGAGTACATATAACTTAAATTATAAATAAAAAACCCCGAAACAAAAAGAGCTGGTGATCTTCAAACGGCTGAACAGATTTTCTTGAAACACAGCTAAGAACTGTCTCGATTAAGACACCTTTCAAACGAAAAAAAAACCTTAATCAAAATCGGTTCATTCGTTCAGGAGCTATGATGCCACAGACAGACACACAGATACACACTACAAACTTCTATCACCGCTCTGTTTTCGTCGGTGGCTAAAAAAAAACATGTAACATGTTATATACATGTAATTTTTAATTTACTAAAGACCTTTTGGAAATATATTGGTTGCATCATTACAAACAATTTTAGCCAAATCACTCTTTACAGAATATAATACATTTACAAAAAAAAAACTACTTTTAAGTTTTTATTGTCATGTCTGACTGACTACTCTTAAGTCTGTGTTTTGTAGTACCTGAACAATTTCAGAATAAATCGTCAAAGAAAATGCTTTTTATATTAAACACATTATATCACCTGACATGTTGAAATCATTATAAATAATTAAACAAGCAAATAACATTCAATAAAATCTTAAATATTAAAATTTATAATAGACGTTTATGAAGTATGACTTCTGCGACGCTAATTTTACCGTTTAGAAGGTTCAATTAAAATATTTTTATTTTGTATGAAAATAAAAATTGAAGAAAAATATTTGTTTTCTTACAGATGTTGTTGTTATGATGTAAATAATACCTAGTCAGGTCATAAGTATTGTCACACAGTAAAAACTTTTCTTTTAGAATGCTGGCCACAAAAAAGTTTATTGAATTCGAATTTCAAATTGTTCATGAAAATAAAACTATATACTTTTTAGAATTTTACTCATTTTTAAATATGGAGTGGACGCTTAAAGAAGACCGTGTTGCAGTTATTGCGTTGCATCGTTGCGGTTACGCGTCAATTTAAATTTTTGACATACTGAAAAATTTGAATATAACCAAAAGATTCGTTTATCGTACCATCAAACGATACAATGAAGACACTAGTGTAGATGACAGGTCAAGAAGTGGTCGCCCTCGGTCTGTTAGGACTCCAGCAGTGATAAAAGCTGTGAAGGCGCGAATTCAAAGAAATCCCAAACGTAAGCAGAAACTGTTGGCCCTTCAGATGGGGTTAAGCAGAACCACGGTGAAAAGGGTGTTAAATGAAGACTTAGGGCTTCGGGCATATCGAAGAAAAACAGGACATCGTTTAAATGCTCGTCTAATGGACCTGAGACTGAAGAGATGCCGCGCTTTGTTGAAGCGGTACGCGGGGAAAAAATATCGGGAAATTTTTTTTCGGATGTAAACATTTTTACCTTAGAAGAGAGCTATAACAAACAAAATGATAAGGTGTACGCACACAGTAGTGAAGAAGCGAGCAACCGTATTCCGCGTGTCCAACGAGGTCATTTTCCATCCTCGCTCATGGTATGGTTGGGAGTTTATTATTGGGGCTTAACAGAGGTACATTTTTATGAGAAAGGTGTAAAAACGAATGCAGTTGTGTATCAAAATACAGTCCTGATGAACCTTGTGGAACCTGTTTCTCATACCATGTTCAATAACAGGCACTGGGTATTCCAACAAGATTCGGCGCCAGCTCATAGAGCGAAGAGCACACAAGACTGGCTGGCGGCGCGTGAAATCGACTTCATCCGGCACGAAGACTGGCCCTCCTCCAGTCCAGATTTGAATCCGTTAGATTACAAGATATGGCAACACTTGGAGGGAAAGGCGTGCTCAAAGCCTCATCCCAATTTGGAGTCACTCAAGACATCCTCGATTAAGGCAGCCGCCGATATTGACATGGACCTCGTTCGTGCTGCGATAGACGACTGGCCGCGCAGATTGAAGGCCTGTGTTCAAAATCACTTAGGTAATTTTGAATTAACTTTAGTGTCATAAGAATCGATGTTTTGTTAAGTTCATTTTGGTATATAAATGGTTACATAATGAATAAACTTGTTTCAATTATTTTATATTAAACATGTGACAGAATTTATGACCTGACTAGGTATATTCCGAAAAGGTCTTCAGAAAATTAAAAATTACCCTGTATATAACGATTTATTTTATTTAGTTTATATTTTATCTTATTTTCATTATATTAATTTTCTGCCGACTTCAAAAAGGAGACGGTACTCAATCCGACTGTATGTTTTTTTTATGTGTGTTACATCATTACTTTTTACTGGGTGAACCGATTTCGATGATTCTTTTTTTTATTTGAAACCTGGCGCTTCACAACATGTGGTCCCATATAAATTTAATCAAGGTGTGACCAGTAGTTTTTAAGTTATTCTTAATAATTTATATTTAAGTCGGTTGTACAAAATTATTAATTTTAAATTATTGTCATAGTGGTCTCTTAAGCAGTAGCTACATGGATTTTAGAGCCTTACTTCGAACTTAGCTCAAATAGTTTAAATATAGACATTCCGTGCTTTTAACTAATATCTCGGTGATATTAGAATAAACGCGTAACCGCTGTATTGCCTTATTATTTACAAATTATATTTAGAACTCCTTTGTCTGACGTAATAGAATTATTACCTCTCTATAATTTGATTTATATAAAGAACAACAATGAATAGCAAATTACCCCAATAAATCTAGACAAGAGTTTACGAGCGCATGTATTTTTTTCTGCCGACTTCCAAAAAGGAGACGGTACTCAATTCGACGTATGTGTGTTACCTCATAACTTTTTACTGGGTGGACCGATTTCGATGATTCTTTTTTTATATGAAAGCTGATACTTCTCGTGTGGTCCCATGTGAATTTGATCAAGTTCAGACCAACAGTTTTTGAGTTATTTGAGATATTCTTAATAACTTATATTGAAGTCGGCTGTACAACATTTTTAATTTTTAATTATATAAGTGGTAGAGCTACATTAATGGTATGGTTGAAACACGAATGGGTAATACGGCAGCATTAAGCTGCTATTTTACGCTGGTATTCTGAGAGAGCGTGGTCCTATCCCGGCCGAGTCGACCCGTTCGTGCTACAACAATAATAATATAGCTAAAGAAAGGCTCTACCACGTAAAATGTCTAGTTGTTATCAGGAAGACGCTGCTGCCTATCTCCTGATTTGTATCCCTCTGTCGCCTCTTACGTAACCTACGGGAAGATATGGGGTGGTGAGTAGTGTTACAACGCCACTACACGGTCACAAACATCACAGTTCACAGATCAAAGATATTCTATACGTGGTAGAGCCACGCTGCAGCTATATTAGTAGTATAGTTGTAGGTATAGTTGTTTCACGCTCTCACAGAATACCAGCGTAAAATGGCAATTTGACACTACTGTGTTTCATATGGTTAGTGCAGAGTACTGGAGACCCATTTTACTAGAAAAGAGGCATTCAATCTTAGTCCTCATGGATGACGACGCATCTACATTTCGATTATTTTTTGAGGATAAATGTTAGATGTCTATGGGTCACAGCAACCACATACAATGAGCTGGGCTGTGTGCTCGTTTGTCACCCTATCCTATAAAAAAATCTGGATCAAGGTGTTCATGTCCTTTGCAATATGTGACGATACGAGACGTTACGAGAAATTTCTGCCATGGGACGCTTTCGCCAAGTTTAAAATAATGATCTTGATACGCGGAAGCTATAAATAATTTTGTATCATCGGGTTACGATATCAATCGATCAAACTTCCGCATCTGATAGCTGGCACGTATAATGTGAGCAAGAGGGGCGAGTGCGTGCGTTTTACAACAGGTACGTAGGTACTTTAATAGTAATGTGAGAATAACTCGTACAAGACCATGCTAATAGTCGACATTCATTTTTAGGAACTGACTCTTATAACAACACTGGTCGTACTTTCTTTGTGTTTTTCTTGATCATTTCCACAAGATGGTCGACTGCCCCAGAAGTAGGGTAATGTTTTTCGGTTCGAGTGTATGTAGGTATGTAATTTATACATGGTAGAGATATATTGCAACTGTATTATGGTACAACCATTAGAGATTATAGATTAGCTGAGTAATTATACGTGGTAGAGCCATGCTGCAGCTATATTGTTGTAACACGAATGGGTCGGCTCGACCGGGGAAGGACCACGCTCTCACATAACGTCAGCGTAAAACAGCAGTACTGTTGCTTTTTGTGTGGTGTGTGTAGAGAACCGGAGACCCTTTTTACTTGATACCGAGGCGTTCCATTTTAATCCTCGGGGGTGCTAACGCATCTGCATTCTGATTCTTATTCAAAGTTAGATCTACATGTCTATGGACTATAGCATCCTCTTACCATCAGGTGGGCTGTGTGCTCGCTCGTCTCTCTAATTCTATAATAAAATATCTTTGACACATTTTGTAGCCTAAACGGCTTGTTGGATTTTAATACATGGTGTGTCATTAGATTAGAAAAAAAATCTCTTTTCAGTAAACTTTTTTACGCAGTCGGGTTTTTTAAGTACTGTTTAACCTTTGGGCTTGTTCCTTAGGATAACCTTAGGTAGGGGATCCATTTTCTAGCACGCTACGAAAAGTAGCAGTATATCCATCGTTCTCTTCATGTTTGTGAAG